CTGGATAGTTTCAGGCAATCTGGTGGCTGCGGATGGCAAGCAGGTTGGTACAGCTTGTAATCTGGTGGTTAATGATCAGCTGAATGCGACTCTTACGCGATTTTGGCAAATTGAGCACAATGCACGTCAAAATACTCGATCCCCGGAGGAGCGTGCCTGCGAAGGGCATTTCGCACGGACGTATAGGCGTAACCCAGAAGGACGATTCATCGTTTCGTTGCCGATAAAGGAAGAGAACCTCCAAGGGCTTGGTGAGTCACGTGATATAGCGGTTCGACGATTCAAGAACTTAGAGAGGAAATTCGGGAAGCAGCCACAGCTGAAAGAGGAGTATGCGAAGTTCATCCATGAATATTTAAGTTTAAAGCACATGAGAGAAATACGAGATGATAGCCCAAGATGGAACGTTCGACAATATTATTTACCGCATCATTGTGTAATAAAAGAAGCAAGCACGACTACCAAATTAAGGGTGGTTTTTGATGCGTCGAGCAAGACTGACAAAGGCGTGTCACTAAACGACGCTCTGATGATTGGTCCAGTATTGCAACAGGATTTGTTCATGATATTGCTGAGATTTCGAGCATTCAAATATGTGATGACTTCGGATATAACCAAAATGTATCGCCAAATACTGGTAGAGGACAGTCAAACACCATTGCAGCGTATTGTTTGGCGAGACAATCCGTCAGAAGAGATCAGGACCTATGAACTACTGACGTTAACCTATGGAACGGCACCAGCGTCATTTTTGGCCACGAAAGTGATTCAACAGTTAGCAGATTTAGAAGAAAATCAGTTTCCTAAGGGCGCAGTAATCGCGCGCAGAGACTTTTATATGGATGACCTTATAACAGGTGCTGAGACAATTGAAGAAGCCCTGACGATCCGCAATGAGGTATCAGAATTGCTTCAAAAGGGGGGATTCATACTCAGAAAATGGGCCTCAAATCATCAAGATTTATTGAAGGATATTGCGGACGAGCTACTGGATAATACTGCTTTGGAATTAGATAAAGACTGCGCTGCTAAAACGTTGGGTGTTGGATGGATTCCTATGAAGGACGTTTTTCAATATTCAATCAAGATAGCAACTCTGACAGCTTGTACCAAGAGGATAATGCTGTCTAGCATAGCACAGATATTCGATCCGCTTGGATTGTTAGCCCCAATAGTATTAACGGTAAAAATATTAATACAGGATTTGTGGAAGCTCCGATTGGATTGGGATGAATCACTTCCGGCAGATATATTTGCTAG